ATTGTGTGGGAAAATCTTGTTTGCTACCCATGATTGGAAAAGATAGCAAATTCTTTATAATAATGTCAGGCAATCTTTCAAAATTAGAAGACATACATTTTGTGGCTGTGTTTTCATTAGATACATTTGAATTAAACAATTCAACTTTATTATCGCTATTTTTTATTGACAAGTTAGATGTTGTATTAGTAAACTCAAGTTCTGTTTTTTTAGCAACTTGACTAGATTCAGAATGTAAAAGTCTTTCTGTAGTTTGGTCAGTTGAGTTATTAATTTCCATCTCATTAACTTTTTTTACAGAACTCTGATCTTTATCATTTAATTGCTCCTTTCGTGATTGTGTAGTGATAGTAATCTTCTTCAATTTATTGTGAGTATTTTCCATAACCCAAAATAATTCTGTATCAATCATATTTGATTTTTCACAGGATATCTTTTCTTTCTTTTCTAATTTTAGTCTTTTCTTCTTCTGGGCTTTTGTTTCAGCTAATGGACCGAATAGCGACTTATATTCTTTCATCAATCTTTCAATTTTATTAATCTTTGAGAAATGCCTTTTAATGACCGGTTGGCACATGTTTTGTATATTAGAAGATATGTATAAAACATATTGGGAAATAACCATAATTGTAGGAATTGTTTTATAGAATAAAATATATAGCTATGTACTTTCTTATTTCACACACAAAACTTCTCGGTAGCTCTGTTAATAAATAATTAAACATACTATAAATAATCAATAACATTCTGCTTTTCTTTAAAATGCGATTATATCTAATATTTCTCTTTAAAATATTAGAACACTCATGTCTAACAAATAAGAAATTATGTACACATTATATATAATATTAATTTCGCATAAAGAAAAATTAATATAAAAAAAGTTAAATTTTTTTTATCATAATTTACTATAATAATTTATCATAATAAATATTTTACATGAACATACAATTATGTCTCAATTAAGCCTAGTCTACAATGCTTTTTGTTTTCTGTTTTCTGCTTTTTGCTATTTTGTACGTCTTGTTTTCTTGCTTCTTATCCGATTTTTTGTTTTATATCGCCTGAGATAAAAGTTAACTTCGAAAGAAACAAGAAATATATAACAAGAAATACAATTGTCGATAAAAAATTGTCGGTTGCAAAGGACAAAAAACAACAAAAGATAAAAAAACAAGAAACAGAAAACAAAGGTACATTGTAGAATAGGCTTAATAATCAAATATAAAAAATGTTTTAAACAAAACTTACTAGAAAAACCTTTTATCCTTAGCTGATTGTGTACTTCATGAAACACGCGATTTATTTATAAAAAACTTAAATAATTATAAAAATAAAAGACGATATATCTCAGATTACAATATTATCAGAAAACCGGCAGAATTAATTTTTATTTGATTGTTTAATTATATAAAATAGGTAGTGTACTTTATAATTGTTCAAAAAACAGTTGAAGAGGTTATGTATACATGATAAACTCAACTTAATCAAAAGCATTTTACCGCCATCTACAAATAAATCGTGCACAACCTTTCTGTAGCATTTTGTTATCAACATTTGATATAAATTCAAATTGAATAATAATATCTGTCGAGTTATCAATCATATAATTATAAGAATTTTTTGTTATTTTATAAAATTTTTTAAGATCTTTTATTATGAAGAATACTCTATAGAATTTTTTACATATTAATAACGTAAATAATAATAATTTTATCTTTGTATAATCACATATTAAACAATAAATTAAATATTTTATTTTATAATTGGATAAATTAATTAATTATTTTATAAATAATACATTTAATATACAATTGCAAATTCTTTGGATATTTTATTGGTATTTTGTTCGATAATATATATAGTATCTAATTTTTTAACACACGACAAAATATTTTATTATTTTAATTATTATAACATTATTATAATTATAAAACTTTATTTAATAATTAATAATAAATTTAATTATAATATTAATTTAGTAATAATTAAATGTAATTAATTACAGTATAATTTTCCCATATAATTTTAGAATTAGTAATTATAATTATTAATGCGTTGCAATCCAAAATGTATATAACGCTTATAAACATATATCTGCAATGTATATATGCATTGCAAATATATGTTATTGATAAATACCACAGAATATTGCGTCATTATTACGCTATTATTAGTATATGAGCAAATCATTCAATCAATTTTGCTAAATGAAAAATTCCAGACTTTGTAGTATCTGATCATTGAGGTTGTTTTTATATCCAACAATTAAATAATTTTACACTACTTCGTTGCGAGTAGTAATAAGATGCATTGATATATTATCAGCCATCGCATCGCCGACATGTTTACGCATTATCGGTGTTCGCGCGATCAGAATTACGAGCGCATTTCGCAATAAGAATCCGCAAAGTTGAATCTGAAACAGCCGTTTAATCGTACGTTTTATTTTATTACCTCAAGTGTATTTTTAAAAGAAGTTTTATGCTGTTCTTTATTGATATCCGGTTCTGACGTTCGTACTCTCTAAAGAAAAATTGTTGTATATCCTTTTCATGCAATTCGTAATATACGCAATTTTCAAGAAATCATTAATTGTAAAAAAATTCTATGAATCAATCAAAATTTACAGATAAAAAAGGATATAAGCATTTTTATAAAAAATGGAATATCATTTTTTTTTTATTCATCACATGTCATCATATAAGAAAAGTATCCATAATTTTTATAGTAAAATATTCTTTTTATGTAGCATTTAAAAATTCTTATTGATACTGATTTTAAAAAATACATTTATAGAATACAATGTTTTGTTATTTAAATGACGAAATTAATTCCTTTATTTACTTTAGAAAACTTGAAAAAAAATAGTTAAAATTTATTGTAGAGAATACCTAAGAAATAAAAATAAGTTTGAATTTATAAATGCCAATCGGCATTTAGACTGCGCGCGGATTGATGAAGTAAATGGGGCAGGAACAAAGTTGAAAATCGATCGAAATATGCAACTAAATCCCAGCACTGCTTTAAAGTAACTTTAAAACTTACTTAAGAAAATAACTGAAACAAACTAATGTGCTGTACTGATTATATTAAAGTTTTTCATCCTTAAAAAACTTGAAAAACTTTAGATTATTTTAGCTTAACTTTTAAATTACCTCAAAATTTTTTAAACTCTTAATTATTTTAAAAAATTTTAACTTCATTAAAAGTTAATTTTCTTAAGGGTTAGTCAGACATTGTAAGTCTAGAAACATATAGCCTAGAAAAAAATAGGAGGTACAACGAAAACAAAAAAATCTAATGCTTACATCCAATATCATGTATGTACAAGTTCGATCGGCGGCTGTTGCAGTGATTTCTTGCCTGGCCTGCACTAGTCAAGTGGAATACGCCAGTGCAACCCCCTCATATTGTGCTTGGCTTATGCAACAATTGTTTGCGGGCGACCTTTGATGCGATAAAACTTTCTCTCTTCCCCCCGCAGAAAATTAACGATATGACGTGCTTTATTGTTTGACGTGCGATACCGCTGAGCCTATCGTTGCACTGACGTAAAACCGGACTCATGGCCCTTTCGAAGGCTCGAGGGTGTACCTCCTGCCCTCTTTCCCATGATTAACGAGGATTTTTCTGCTAATTTAATAACGGCCTGCTGTCGAATCGAGTTCATGGCAGACCATTTGTAAAACGGCGATTATCCCGAGTGGCGTCGAAGTAACAGGAAGATAACGCTTGCAGCGGACAGTGATATATGGCGCCGTTTATTTAACAATTAATCCTTTTTTCACCATTTAGTTGCAAAAAGGAATTTTTGTCGCACTTATATTTTAAATTATACCATGAATTAGAAAAAGCAAACAAATATATATTAAAATATATATTATTCATATAATTTTTATCGACAAATATTTTTTCAGAATCTGAAAAAATAAGGTCGATTCCAAACTATGTTAGATTTCTTTATTTATTTACTTCGTCTTATTTGTACTCTTTCTGTTCTTACTATTTCGTTAATCACGGGACATATGATAGGTTGTTACAGAAAGGGACTGCCAACAAGAGATAAACTGGACGGAAAAAATATCTTCATGTTTTTACGTAATGCTGCAACCGAAAACCGTCGTCGCAGAGCCGAGCGACAGTGAAAGTTTCGTCATATATGAAATTTAAGATGTGCAGAAAAACGCTGTGTCATATCAATGAATCAAAATTAATACTAATGGGTCGTATATTGTTATATATATTTAAACGTTTAAAGCTGGAAAATTACATTTACGTATATAATATATTAAATACGCCAAAAGCGTATAGTTATATCAGCGATATGTGTCATGCAATATCTTTTACATTCATGGGGATTAATTGTATCGAGTTTAACTTAAGTTCAAGTTAACTAATTCTAGGTTGAGTAATCTATTATCCTTTCGAATTATAATCCTATCCATAATGTAGATGAAATAACAGGATTTTACCAGATAAAATATCTTGGTTTTACCTTCAAAGTGAAATAATCACTTTGAAAGAGAGAGTCCACGGATTTACGAGATCTCAATTTAAAAAAATGACAAGATTACATGTATCTTTAATGTAGTAAAAAATTGTTGCGCGAAAGTTCCTATTTTGCTGAAAAAATCCAGTTCTATAAATTAAAAGAAAGAATATAAGTAACTTAGCAATAATAAAATCTTCCTATCGATTTTATCTTATTTGTAATTCTCAACCCTTCTAATTTCATTCAACGAAAGAAGTTCTACAAGAAGTTCTACAAGAAATCTAATAATTCCACATTCTTATGCGTTAATCCAAACGTTTCATCGAGAATAACGGTGTCTCCTGCGGGAGATTGATAGATCGATTTTTAATTCCCACCGACGCAAGTCGATCGCGCAGTCTAACAAAGAATTTTCGTGACGAGTTCGCGAGAAAAATCATTTTAGAAAGGCGTATTAGCTACGCGTACCTCTACCTTGCCAGAGGTACTATTGCATTGCTATAACTGCTCCTACATCTCTATTTACGTGCGTATGTGTGTGAGTGAGCGAGGTATCGCATATAGATGTGCGATACACGTGTAATTCGTCTCGGCGAGATGCAATGCTGTGAGAAAAGACTCCACCGGTATAAAAGGGGGTGTGTCTCGTAAGATCCGCATCAGTTTCAGTAGTGATCTCTGCATCGCCACACCATTACCGCCACCATGAACGCTATAGTGAGTTCTAGTTCTAATTCTACTTCTTCGAGTAACTAGAATCGTCACGATATGCATTCGAGGGAGATCTCGTGATTTATCAATATTTGCGGAAAAATAATTCACCCCAAGGCGAACAGGAAAGTCAAAATAATATTCAATTTGACACTATTTCTTGTTTTCCTTAATTGGAATTTTACGCGCCCTGTAAATAGAATTCATTATAAGATATTTCTGATACGATTTTTTTATTATTTCACGATATGTGATACTAATATTATTATTATTTTTTTTATAGATATTCTAGAATGATTTATATTTTTTTATTTATGCACATGTCTCACGTATTTTCTGTATTTTTGTGAAATATGGTATTTGTTGTTTGAGATATTTTAAAAAAATGTTTTTCTTTTTACGTCTATATTATAAAAGATTTTAGATTTGTTTTTTTTTTGTGTTGTACTAGACCAACGCAAGGATTATTTTCTTTCTCGCTTTGTGTAAATATCAAACATGTGTATATTCGTTCATGCATTAAATAGAAAAAATTATATTAGTTTAGGTATAAGAAGCGGACTTACTGTCAACCTTTTTATGAGAAAATAAATTAATAAAGCATAATGTGTACTTAACTTTACACAATATGCATTTAATTACTTTATCTATATAATACTTACTTGAATAAATTTCTTGCAGCTTGTATTAGCCATTCTCAGCCTGGCAATGCCTATTTATGGCGAAGAAACACAAGTAGAAAAGAAACAGGAGAAGAGGGGTATCTTAGGGTTAGGTTACGGAGGATACGGAGGATACGGTGGATTAGGAAACTCTCTGATTGCGGGACCGGCTTATGGAGGTAATTTCCGGTTAAAAGATCTTGACGCCCAATAATTTGCACGACTGCTTAATTTTGTCTCGATTGTGAAAGTCACACCCTTTCGACTTCAGGTCACGGACAAAGTTATCTCGGTGTTGCCCCGGCATTTGCTTCCTCGGGTCACGGCATTTCCGCACCCGCCTATAGTTACAGCAGCGTGCCCATAGCGTCTCATGGGTACAGCGCTCCTCTGGCTTATCGTATTGGTTATTCTGGTGGTCCAGGGTACGGTGGTGCGAATCTAGGAGGATTCGGACACGGTGCCGCAGGAGCCGCAGGAGCCGGCGGAGCGGCCGGGGCTGACCGCAGGTGCCGCATATAGCACTGGATACGGCGCGAGGAGTGGTCTTGGACATGGTGCGGGACTCGCATATGGTGCTGGATTTGGATATGGCGCAGGATTGGGACACGGTCTCGGTGCTGGTCTCGGTCATGCTGGTCTAGGTGCCGGTCTAGGTGCTGGTTACGGTGCCGGTTACGGTGCCGGTTACGGTCACGGATGGTGAAGATACGGCGACTGATCAATTATCTGACACACGCGGTGTCGCGAAACGTCCATGATCCTTCAATTTTTCTTGTCAACTTTGTCCTGATTGGCCTTACCAATTCTCAAGTTTTATATCGTGCGACTTCCAAATAAATTTTATATTTTTTAGTAATTTGCAGTACCTTTTTTATGTCTCCATTCTTACGGCGAGGGTGAATTATAATCAATGATTTCTTAGAAATTTAATTGATCAATCTGTAAAATAAAAAGCAGAAGAAATTAATGAAATTAATAAATTAATCACTTTAATATTAAAATTAAAAAATTTTTAATAAAAAATGAAATTGATCAATTTTGATTTCTCGGAGATTATGTGACTATCATATGTTAAATGTGTTTGTTACGAACAACATGTATCAGTAAATACAATATGATATTTTTTTTTATATTTTCATTTTTTCTTCTTTTTTTAGATTGTTTCTATATTTGTGAAATATTGTTTATAAAATATTATTGTTTATAAATGTTCGACTTTATATTATGTTTTACCGTTTAGTAAACATTGATAATAATCCGATCGTGACCGAAACATTTGTTAGCCGGTTATTAAATTAGCATGTTATTAAATTTCATAATTAATTTATTAAGACTTTTACTTATCTACCAATTTTTATAAGTCAAAAAAAAATTTTTTGGCTTGTAGCCCTTTTGCCTTTAACTTGTTTATAAAATATTAATATCATTTTAATACTATTATTTAATACTATTAATATGTGTTTCTATTATTTTCTTAAAATGTGCATTTTTTAAAGAACCATCTAACGTGTACGTTACACATATGACATCTTTGCATTTGAACATGTAATATAATCAAAAATAAATAGACAAAATATATTTTTATAAAATAATAAAACGGAATTAAATACAAAAACCAAGAAATATGAATAATAAAATTACATACACAGACAACAGTTAGATTAATTTTTCGGAAGTCGATAAATAAAATTTCTACTTTATGTATGTTAGTTACCACTTCGCCACTAGGTGGCGTTAATAAACAATCATATGTTCAAAATAGATTAAACAACATTCGGTGAGGTTAAGTTACTCTAGGAAACGTCTATTAATTACGTTAATCATGAATTTCCTGGCTAAAAGTGTAATGAATATAGCGAGAACTTGCGTAGCAAATACCATCCAAAGTACGATCATTGTGCGATGTGATATAATTAATTTTTTAGTTATCTAACCTCTAATTTAATTTCTGAATAAAAAGTGGTTACTGTCATAATAAATGCTTTTCTAAAGTTTTTATTTTATTTATATATAATCAGATTATTTCAGTTTTGACAATATAATCTGATTACCTTATTTATTTCAGATAGCAACCTAACTACGAAATTTTGTAAGGACAGCTATAGCCAAGGTAATATTTCATAATGTCAATTTATTTAACAATGAACTGAAATCTTGTACTTGCCATTAGCAGGAAACATACTGAATGTCACAAGGAAATGTGTGAGCACAGCATTGCAAGGTAATAAAATTTTTTAATTTCTATGCAAGTCATAATCACAATCTGTTTCCAGCAAATGACAGTGTAACACAGTAATCACTTTTGTTTAACATTAGAAAACAATAAGAATGTAATGCTACACTCTGTCATTTGTGTAATGTGAACCCTCTGTTTTATATATTGAAATTCAACTCTCATTCAAAGCAGAAAGTAATTTCAATATAATTAGATGTTCATATTTTTATTATAACAATTGATTTATTGTCACTTGAATTTAGTGCTAGAAATTCAAACTAATATTGAATAATATTACAGAAATAAGAATCTTTATTTTAAAATTGAATGACTGAAAAAAAATCAAGAAAAACTCGTTCTTAATTTTAAATGACTTGTTACAGACGTTATTTCTGAACAGAATGTTATTTTAGATATTACTTTTAAGTAATATTTTGTGATATTTTTTTGAAATATAAAACTCAATTTTATTTCCGTTTTTACTATTCTTAATTATTAAAATCTAATTATTACAAGATATCAATTTATTTAAATTTTTGAAAATTATATATATATATATATATAATTATTAATTGTTTATAATATTATAAATATTTAGCATGATTTTGTAATTAAACGCACTCAAATTTCTTTGTGTGAAGGACGTATAAGGAATATTTGAAAATAAAAAAAATCAAAATAAATGTATATTAGTAGTTTGACGACTTATTTACGTGAAATTGTGTGAAACGTTAAAGGTATCGCATTTCTTTTAAGCGTGACTAGATTGGTCCTCTCCGAACCATCTATATTTGCCTATAGATACATATCTTCGCGATTTTCTGCTTGGATCCGGATTCTATCAAAGAAGCGGTCGAATCTCATAGGAAGTCGGCTAGATTCCCATCGTGGCTGAAATTTTTCTGCCACAAAAATACGTGCAGCCCTCACCTCTTTGATCCCCATGGACAGAGATCTCCAAATACCAAAGGGATCTATTCGTCCACTTCGCAAGAAAGGGCTCGCGCTGCGTAAAGACGGAGCCTTGTGACCACTAGCGAAAATCGCTGGGAATTGAGGGGTGTGACGTGTCCATTTGCGGTTGACCAGTTGTTGGGATCAGGCACTATCCGCGTGTTTCCCTCTTTCCGCTTTTCTCGCAACCCTACAAAGGGTCTGTGATCCATTCATGACAGCATTCATGAGAGTGTTCGCAAACCATGCCTTATCAGAATTAAAGATCTTGCGTTTCGTTAATTTGATGGTCCTGAACAGAACTTTCTTGTTTACACTTAGTTTTTTGTATTATCAATGTCTATATTTCTAATATTTCCATCGTTTCAATTTCTTATCCAAGTTGTTGAGTTTTTCGTATAATATATTCGATAAAAAGGATGCTCGTTGAGGAGCATCCTTATGTCAGTTTTCGAAAATGAAAGCTGTCGGAGATGACATTGACATTTTAGAATTGCTTGCCAGAGCCGTAACATTCTACGACCATGCTAAATCCTATGCCATATACTTTCGCAACAAAAAATTGCAAATGAATAAACAAATAATATTTTTTACTAATTAAAATAGAATGAATTAATTTTTGATGAAGGCTCCATATGTCGTTTATTTCGACTTTGTAAATGTTTTTAGATATCTTATGTGAATGAACGTAATCCCTGCTTTATATTCACATCTTGACAATTTAAATTAATTTGATGTAACAAATATTAATTTAGCATTAACTTATTGGTTCCAATTATTATGATAATTTTTATGACTAGATGAAGGATGAGAGGAAGAATTCTGAAATTCGCATTTTTTCAGTTGTAAGATCGCAATCGTAACAAAAAGAAATTTCTCGGAGAAACGAAGGAAATAG